CCAACGTGACGGCCGTCTGGGTGTGTGGTGCGAGACGGGAGATGTAGTTCATTGAGCGTTTCACACAAAAACAAGTGTTACTTCACAGTTTTACGACACATTTAAAAAAAATTGACTTTCAAAATTATCTTTTAGATTGACAAACATCAGATGTGTAATTCGTGGCACAATTCAAACGGGATCGAAAGATAATCTTTCTCTCTCCATTGACTTCAATGCATACTTTTCAGAAATAAGGTCCCATGGAGGAAAGGGAGGGACTTCGCCTCTCTATAGTCCTTTTACAGTCCAATGTTGTCAGTAAATGCTCTGTCATCTGATAAATAATGTTTGAACTTATTCCTATATATTAGTATCTACATATATATTCAAACGCAGTACATTCACACGGTTACAGTGTCTTGCTTTGACTACGATTCATCCAAATGATTCATATTCAGGTATAAAAGTGTACTGCTTGTTTAAGATAAATATATAGAGAGAATGGCGATGCTTCAGAATATATGATGTAGCATGTTTCTTTGATCAAATGAACTTTTTAATAGTTTTCTCTCGTGTTTCCAGCATTTTATTTCATCATTTGTGAACTTCTTTTTTTCTTTCAAGCCATATCGTTTGAGGTGTTTCTAAACCAACAGATGGAGCTGGCAGTGAGCCTCCGGCAGCAGGAAATCAAGCAACAATGCACATGCCGCAAGCAAGTAGCAGCAAATATATTTTTTAAATGGACACCTACCTACATCCATGAATGATGGGTGATTTAGACTCTATTCTGGAAAGGATTATAATTGTTTCAAGTTAATACAATCTATATTCTTTTAGGCTAATTTATGATACTTAATCACGTTGTTAAAGGATTGGGTCCTTCTTTGTATTCGTAAGGGCAAAGGCTCCTTCAGACATTAACCACCTCTTGCATCATGTGCTTGAGATTCACTCAGTTGTCTTTGTTTTTTATAACTTAAGCAAAGTTACATTTAATACAATTGGACTGTCACTGGATGTTTTTGCTGTTACCTATTTCCTCCATACTCAACAGCTTCCCCGTGGCGGTGGTGGGCAAGGCGGTTTGAGCAGGAACTCCATGCTAACGTAGAAAGGACAAGGCAAAGGTCTGAACCTCCAGCTTAGTGGCATTTTTGCTGCATTCTGAGTTCATGATCTTCAGGACATACTTGGTACCCTCTGTGTCCACAATGAGGAAGTTCTGGTCAATATAACTAGGCAGGGTGGAGATCTCAGTTATGGTCACTCCATAAAGTTGCAGTGTCAGTTCAGTTGCCTGCTGCGGGGTGAGCGTTGGCCTTCTTTCTGCACATAAGAGTCAAAATAGCAACACCATTTTGTACATGCTTTTGATGACCTGCAAATCTGCCAACGTTCACACCAGAACATTTTGAGTTTGTCATAAGAGGCTCAAGCAGGGCCGCCCCTCCGACACGCAGATGGCGCAGACTGCGTGGGGCCTCACCTTGCGGAGGGGGCCTCAACTTATGCGGCAACAGTAATACAAATAGCTGAAGATGTAACAAACTAATAATTCTTATTCTTAAAATCAATGTGGTGCATGTCTTTGACGTGCCTTTAAAAACAGTCTTTAGATGCTCCTCCAGCACAGTGTGCAGGGAGGAAAACAAAATCCACCAATCCCCTGAATGAGCCAGGGTTGACTGAAGAGCCAGAGTTGTATCCACCTCCTCCTCGTTGTTTCCCCACCGCAATCCTGTGGCCGTCGTCCAGCTGCGTAGCAGTTGCTTACTTGGGGCGATATAATAATCGCCCCTCCGGGAGCAGTTTTGAGGACGCTGATTGGCTATATTTTATGACACACGTTCATATCTTGAATCAGCAATTGGCTAACCTGCTACAAAGACCCGCCTCCGTGGGGCGATGTTTCCATCGCCCCAGCACAGTACTTCAGTCATACAGTGTACTAGGAATTCGGAAAAGCATATATTTTGCGCAAATTATTTTAAAATCATATTTTACACATATTTCTGTGTATTCCATATTTTAAACACAAATATTGACAATTTATATAATTAATTAGTATTATTGTTATCAAATTAAGTTTTATTTATAGAGCACATTTATAAACGATTTTTGGTGGAGCCAAAGTGCTGAACATAAAATAAAAACAGCCTACAATAGAGACACTTTACAGCAAATACAACAACACAGATTGTTCAAAATATCAGTATGAGAAAAACTACACCCTCTGTCCTTAGACCCTCTGTCCTTAGTTATTATTAATAATAATGTGTGTGTGGTTTAGGGAGGGCGACGCCCTATCGCCCTCTTTGGGCCAGCCGCCACGGGTACAGACCCCTGGGAGGGCCACAAGTTGGCCAGGGGGCAGCCCTGAGTTCCAGTGAAACTAATGAAAGGCTTTGAGCAAGACTGACAGGGTTGTGTAAAGGCCGACGGGTAATACTGGATTTTGACAGGAATTTTACGATCCTGTCCGTCCTGTCTGACGAGTAGCGAAAAAGTCTAGTGTAACCCTTACACATATATTTAAAAGGAAAATGAGAACACTTTTGATGAAGTTAATGTTTCACTGCTATACCTTTTCCAGGTTGAATGTTTAGCTTTCCAAAAATCCTTGTTCTTACTCCAAAACACTCCCGTTCTGTTCTTTTCCTCTGATCTTTAATAACAGATAGTAGATCGTTGATAGATGGCTGCACTTTGGGTCACAGACTAACATTGATTTCGTCAATTTATAAATTGACAGGCTCTGTAATTATACCATAACCTTTTCTCCTCTATCCCTTAACTCGTCTTCCTCTACAGATTTACTTACTATCTACTCTAGTCATGTCAGGATTAAAGTATTGGATGTTCAAACCAAGGCCTAAAACCTGGCATTTCATAAGAAAGTGACTAATATACAAACCAAATGTAATATTGGATAAAACACTTCACCAAATGGACACAGATTAAACAAACAAATAAAGTCCCCTGGTTTGTCTCTAGAGTCTAACTGCCATGAGAAAAATCAAATCAATGTTCCAAAACCCGTCACTAGATGTCGCTCATTGTACCAATACGGTTTATATAATAAATATATAACCCCATTACTATTATTATAGTAAAAGGGCTCGCTTTGGCAAAAGCCTGATCCATACAGGCTGCCCTAAATAATAACAGTAACCATCATGTGTGGTGCTATCTGTAGTAGTCTGTTTTATTGATTTAATCTCGTTTTCACAGAGTTGTGCAAATGAATGTCCCCTGGGCACAATACATCTAAACTCATTGAATATTCAATCACACACATGATTGAGAACATAAATTCGTAACTTACCTCGTTTAAAGCACTTTTGTTGTAATACTATGGATTTAGTTGACACTACTTCTTTTGTCCAATATTTCGTGGGCAGTTACATTGAAGAAGAAGAAATACGCTAATATATGGAGAACAAAAGGCACAACACTGTTACTCTGTTTTTACTGACATGTAACATTGTATTCCACCTTGCTCTGTTTAACGCACATTAAAAAACGGGAACATTTTCGGGAGTTTCAACCGGGTACCGGGTACCGGCCACCAAAGACGGGGACTTTGCCCGGAAAACGGGGACGTTTTGGTCACCCATCCCACTGTTTACAGCTAAGCACACACGCTAACATTAATTAAGACTACAAGCTCACTTGGGGTTGAGGCTTGTTTACACGTTGCTTGACTGCCTGCCCACACATCTGATCCAAACATAGGAACGTGTGTTGGGGAGGAAGATAATCATTTAAAGTTATTATTTAATAATTGTGACATTTATTGTACTTGTTAATGGATGAATGATGCTCAAGGTGAGGGGGCAAAGAATACAACTTTTGCCCCCTCGTGGCGCCGGGCCCGCTTTGGTGTCCCCATCAGAATCACTCAGTCATCATGAAAATGTAGCAGAATAATGAAACTCTGAGGTCTTATTATAAATGGCCAAACATTTACACACATGCGTTTGATCTACTATAACTACCAGTCATTTAACAGAAAACATATGCACTTACCCATTGTCTCTCAGCAGATACTGTAGGAGATGAGGGACAGTAGAGAATGTGGCTCTCACAAACAATTGAACAGGACTTGTGACTTTGAGGAGTCAACCAGAGCAGCTTGGTACAGTCCCCTCAAACTATTGGAACAGCGAGGCCAATTGCTTTATTTTTGCTGTACACTGAAAAATTGGGTTTGAAAAAAAAAAAAAATGTATACGAGACAAAAGGTCAGTATTTCAGCTTTTCATATCTACATTATGTAGCACCTCATTTCAGACGCCCCGACCGTGGTGGGTCCATGACCGGCACGGGGTGGGCCCTTGCTGAAAGGAAAACCCCCCCACCCGCATGACTTGATAAATAAATTAAATTATTATGAAACCAGCTGCAATGGATCATGGATCCACCAGGGGGAGCAGTGATTAAAACCTGCCACACTGGAACTCAAAATAATGTTGTTTAATCCACACTTACTACAACTACACAAAAAAACATCGGTTTGTTTTTTCATCAGGAAATGCAGCCCGGGTCAAACAAACGATGTAATTATCATCCTCACGATCATTTAATGTATCATATGTTCACCGAATTCACATGAAAGCACTAACAAATGTGAATATACTGTAGTCAACTTAATATATTTTATAGACATTCCTAACAAGTCAATTATTAAATTCATAAACTGCTGAGAGGAGACTTTCTGTAATGCATTTAATATAAACCTTCATTTTGAAGGAAAGCTCCATCATGTGAAGTCTCTTTTTGGAGACTCATTAGTCCCAGAGGGGAAATATAGTTGCAGCTAAGAGACACTGAAACTTAGTGAAGAGGACTCAGTAAAAAGTCATTACAGTCCAGGTCTAAAAAGGAAGCATCATTATTAAAGTATCTGTAGGATGATGTAATGAGAAGTATAGCTCGTTAACCAATCAGAGCACATCCTGCATGTTTTGGCACAGAGTCTCTACACATGTTAATAAAAGACACCAGGCACAGGATTCAGTTCACTCTTTATTTCCACAAACACAGCCTTGATGTCTCTGAAGCTCAGCACCTGAGAAGAGAAGAGAGCAGTTAGAAGCAGCCTTCCTCCAGAGCACAGATCAGAGAGTCTGCTCTGCATCAGAAAACAGTTCTCTTTCACTCTGACTCAGAGAGATTCCCAATGTTTCAACAGATCATCAGCTACAGCTTTCAGAGACGTGCAGGTATCAGAGAGAAATTCACCTGGAGAGGCTGATCCCAGAGCAGATCCTGGTCCTGGAGGGGAGGGGCTTCACCTGATGAGAGGCTGATCCCAGAGCAGATCCTGGTCCTGAAGGGGCGGGGCTTCACCTGATGAGAGGCTGATCCCAGAGCAGATCCTGGAGGGGAGGGGAGGGGCTTCACCTGATGAGAGGCTGATCCCAGAGCAGATCCTGGTCCTGAAGGGGAGGGGCTTCACCTGATGAGGCTGATCCCAGAGCAGATCCTGGTCCTGAAGGGGAGGGACTTCACCTGATGAGGCTGATCCCAGAGCAGATCCTGGTCCTGAAGGGGAGGGGCTTCACCTGATGAGAGGCTGATCCCAGAGCAGATCCTGGTCCTGAAGGGGAGGGGCTTCACCTGATGAGAGGCTGATCCCAGAGCAGATCCTGGTCCTGAAGGGGAGGGGCTTCAACCTGATGAGGCTGATCCCAGAGCAGATCCTGGTCCTGAAGGGGAGGGACTTCACCTGATGAGGCTGATCCCAGAGCAGATCCTGGTCCTGAAGGGGAGGGGCTTCACCTGATGAGGCTGATCCCAGAGCAGATCCTGAAGGGGCGGGGCTTCACCTGATGAGGCTGATCCCAGAGCAGATCCTGGTCCTGAAGGGGCGGGGCTTCACCTGATGAGGCTGATCCCAGAGCAGATCCTGGTCCTGAAGGGGAGGGGCTTCACCTGATGAGGCTGATCCCAGAGCAGATCCTGGTCCTGAAGGGGAGGGGCTTCACCTGATGAGGCTGATCCCAGAGCAGATCCTGGTCCTGAAGGGGAGGGGCTTCACCTGGAGAGGCTGATCCCAGAGCAGATCCTGGTCCAGAAGGGGAGGGGCTTCACCTGATGAGGCAGATCCTGGTCCAGAAGGGGAGGGGCTTCACCTGATGTGAGGCTGATCCCAGAGCAGATCCTGGTCCTGAAGGGGTGGGGCTTCACCTGATGAGAGGCTGATCCCAGAGCAGATCCTGGTCCTGAAGGGGCGGGGCTTCACCTGATGAGAGGCTGATCCCAGAGCAGATCCTGGTCCTGAAGGGGAGGGGCTTCACCTGATGAGAGGCTGACCCCAGAGCAGATCCTGGTCCTGAAGGGGCGGGGCTTCACCTGATGTGAGGCTGATCCTAGAGCAGATCCTGGTCCTGGAGGGGAGGGGCTTCACCTGATGAGAGGCTTATCCCAGAGCAGATCCTGGTCCTGAAGGGGCGGGGCTTCACCTGATGTGAGGCTGATCCCAGAGCAGATCCTGGTCCTGAAGGGGAGGGGCTTCACCTGATGAGAGGCTTATCCCAGAGCAGATCCTGGAGGGGCTTCTTTGGACAGAAACACAAACTCATTAGAACTAAAGGTAGAGACTCAGCAGAGGCGTTGGAGCGCACACAGCCTCAGAACATAATGGAACGGTAGGGGTATAATCACGAGAGATCATTTGGCAGAATCTTTTCATCACAGGTAGTGTTCATAGAAACTGATCACTCCTGATGAGACGCACCTTAGCTTCCAGTCCTCAAACGTCCCGTGTTCAGTCTGACAGAGGAGGGTCTTTCCTGGAGGAGAAGGACACAGTCTTATTTAAAAACTACATTTATATGAGAGCAGTGACAGAAAAGCAGCACCAACTAAATGTCCAGTGCGCACACAGCCTCAGAACATAATGGAACGGTAGGGGTATAATCATTAGAGATCATTTGGCAGAATCTTTTCATCACAGGTAGCGTTTCATTAACGCCACACACACATTCTGATAACACACTCCTGATGAGACCCACCTTCATGTCCTCAAGTGTCCCATGTTCAGTCTGACTGGCTCTTTCCTGAGGAGAAGGACATCACATCTCATCAGTCAGCGACAGGTTGATTGTGTTACTCTATTTTAATTCAAAGTGATTGTGGTTCTCTCCTCTGGGTTCTCAGTCACAGATTGTTCCACATTGTAGTTCAGGTCAGACATTTGTAAACATCACTGAACCCTCAGTCTTCCTAAAGTCTCAGGAGAGGATCAGATTCTCACCTGAAGTCCCTCTGAACAGCTGATCGACCCTCACAGCTGATCGACCCTCACAGCTGATTGGATCTGAAAACACAGAAGAGTAGATTAAATCAACCCAGAATAAAAAGCCTGTTAGTTTCCCTGAAGCTAACTCAGATCAGATTAAATAAATGCTAATTTTCCTCAACGGGATCAGAGACCTGATTCATGTTCATCACATCTGAGTCATGTTATTGGTAGGGGTGTAACGGTGTAAATATTCGGTATGGGCCCTTGGGTTCACGTGTGTATACAAACGAATATAACGTTAAACTTAATAAAAAAATTGAGAACGTGAAAAACTTTTTGGAAGTAATCTCATTGTTAGCGCCAGCAGGTCTGCCCTTTCAGGAAGCCATGTGGACAAATTCATTTCTCTTTAAAAAAACATGAATACAATGACGAGCAAGTCCTAATGTCAAACAAGTACAGTAGAGTTCAAGTGCAGATTATTTCAGTTCATCGAAATGCTGCACCTTAATGTTTTTTATTTTGTATTTGAGTGAATATATTATTCACAATTTAATAATAAAAATATATATAATGTTTTGTGATCTTTTTTCTGCTGTACCGAAGTCGCACCGAACCGAAATGTTTGTGAACCGTTACACCCCTAGTTAGCGGCTAAATGCTAATCTGTGATGCTCACCAGGAACACAGGAGGCCTGAAGGTGGGAGTCCTGGACAGCAGGGGGTCTTCATGTCTGAATTAAACAGAGAGGGGTCTCATTATCACAGAGAGAAACACCTGAGGCTCAGCAGAACTACAGCTGATACTCAGCTAGGAGCGAAAGACAAATGCTCTTGTTCTTCATGGTTCATCTGCTGAACTATGCTCTCATCACGGTGTCAGACATCCTTCAACTCTGCTGTTCCTCCATATAACTCACCTTCACATGGAGCGCTGCCTCAGTCTGCTTTCTGTCAAAGAGAGAGGAAGTGTTAGCAAGTGCTTCAGGAGTCGAGTGTCCTCCATGTCTTTCAGGCCGACACTCAGCTAGGAGCGAAAGACAAATGCTCTTGTTCTTCATGTTTCATCTGCTGAACTATGCTCTCATCACGGTGTCAGAGCTCTTTGTTAATGCTGCTTCAGCAGAATATCTAACTCACCTGCCACTGAGTCCAGGGTCATGAGGAGAGGAGGAGAGGAGGACCAGCTGCAAGAGAGAGGACTCACTTTAGAAAAGGCATGTTTCAATAAAGAGGCGTCTGTTCATCTGCACGCATCAGATACAAGTCTTCTTTCACTCTGACTCAGAGAGATTCCCAATGTTTTGTTACAAGATCATCATTTAGATTCCTTTAAAGGATGCTAGAGACATGATGGATGCATCACCTGGTCTGGAGGTCACCTGGAGGTCAGAGGTCAGCTGGAGGTCATCTCCTGCAGGAACACAGAGTAAAATGAGCTCCATCTCTAATATTCAGAGTGTGTTCTTCTCGCTGTGTGAGCCTCAGATAGATCAACTGGTGGGTTGGAGGTATCGTCATCCAGGTAGTCGAGAGTAGCAAATGCTGTCATCACAGGCGAGAGAGAGGAAGACTTTAAGACACTCTGAGGCTCACCTCCTTTCAGCTTCACATGCTGCTTGGTGTAACGTCAGAGGTCCAACTCGGTGTCCTGCAGCCTCTCTGGTCCTAAGTCCAAGAGGCCGGTCTATATAAAGGGCCGGTGGCGAGTCTGTGTTGGGCAGTCTGTTCAGCTTCACATGTTGCTCCATGTCTCTGAGACCTGTGGACACAAACCCTCGTTAGCTCCACAACATGGAGACAAAGACACGATATAGCTTTCCATGGAAGTGTCAGCGTATGGTTTCTCAGATATCACATCTGTCCACTACTCTTATACTAAATCATCACAAACTTCCACTTCAAACCTGTAGTTTCTTCATTGAGCAGATAGAGTAACTCACAGCAGAGGATCTGAGGAGGTTCCCAGCTCAGAGACTTCTTCCACCTGAACAACATCAAGAACTCCGATTAAAAACACATCTGGAAAAACTGCTTCACTTTAGTAATCAGTGAAATAACACACTGCTAACATTAGCATGCTATCAGTTAAACTTCAGCCATTCAGTTTCAGAAATCTCTTCTGTCCACTACTCTTATATAATGAAACATCACCAGTTTACCAATCAGAGCAGAGGTGGAGAAGTACTCTGATCTAGTACTGAGTAGAAGTACTCTGATCTAGTACTGAGTTAAAGGAGAAGTACTCTGATCTAGTACTGAGTTAAAGTAGAAGTACTCTGATCTAGTACTGAGTTAAAGGAGAAGTACTCTGATCTAGTACTGAGTTAAAGATGAAGTACTCTGATCTAGTACTGAGTTAAAGTACACAGATCTAGTACTGAGTAGAAGTAGAAGTACTCTGATCTAGTACTGAGTTAAAGGAGAAGTACTCTGATCTAGTACTGAGTTAAAGGAGAAGTACTCTGATCTAGTACTGAGTAGAAGTACTCTGATCTAGTACAGAGTAAAAGTAGAAGTACTCTGATCTAGTACTGAGTTAAAGTAGAAGTACTCTGATCTAGTACTGAGTAAAAGTAGAAGTACTCTGATCTAGTACTGAGTTAAAGTAGAAGTACTCTGATCTAGTACTGAGTTAAAGTAGAAGTACTCTGATCTAGTACTGAGTTAAAGTAAAAGTACTCTGATCTAGTACTGAGTAAAAGTAGAAGTACTCTGATCTAGTACTTGAGTTAAAGTAGAAGTACTCTGATCTTGTCTGAGTTAAAGTAGAAGTACTCTGATCTAGTACTGAGTAAAAGTAGAAGTACTCTGATCTAGTACTGAGTTAAAGTAGAAGTACTCTGATCTAGTACTGAGTTAAAGTAGAAGTACTCTGATCTAGTACTGAGTTAAAGTAGAAGTACTCTGATCTAGTACTGAGTTAAAGTAGAAGTACTCTAATCTAGTACTGAGTAAAAGTAGAAGTACTCTGATCTAGTACTGAGTTAAAGTAGAAGTACTCTGATCTAGTACTGAGTTAAAGTAGAAGTACTCTGATCTAGTACTGAGTTAAAGTAGAAGTACTCTGATCTAGTACTGAGTTAAAGGAGAAGTACTCTGATCTAGTACTGAGTTAAAGTAGAAGTACTCTGATCTAGTACTGAGTTAAAGTAGAAGTACTCTGATCTAGTACTGCGTTAAAGTAGAAGTACTCTGATCTGGTAACTTTCCGTTCTGCTCATGCTGCTTTGCTTTTGGCTAACTGTTGTTGTTGTTGTTGTTGTGCTTTATGATTGTAATGCAGACTGGGCCAACACGTGTCTCCTCCTCCCTGCTCTTGTTTGAAGGCTGCACCTGCTTTTCAGGAGACCAGGCCTCGCACTTATGTTCTTTCTGCCAGCGCATCAGCGGTAAGAGTCCATCACAAACTGCAGGGTCTGTCACCCAGCAGGAGCTAGGCTAACATGCTAACAGGCACAGAGCCGTAGAACACCACACACTCCAAAAGACAGCCTATGTAGCTCACATCAGGGCACAGAGCTGCTGCAGCCTTTGCATTTTCACAAATCTCAAAGTGTGTTGTATAGAATGTTAAGCCGCTCTGGGATAATCCAGTCCAGATACATCGGCTATGCAGCGATTTAAGGAGGTACAAACACGGAGGATTGTTCGCTCAGCGCTGTAAATTAAATGTCCCTTAACTTTCCCCTTAACTGCCGAATCGGAAGCCAACTTCAGCGTCGTTATAATGAAGTCATTTATGTTTCCTCACCATTTAATGTTCGGCTCCATTTTGCAGAGATCCTGTCGCAAGGCCTGCAACCAGAGAAGGAGATAAACATTAATATACATCTTTAAAAATGCATCTAGTTACAAACTGCAACTCATCTAAATCTGTAAACTCCTGCACATGCAGCAGCTAGTTAGCACATGTAGCAGCTAGCTCTAAAACAGAATAGTTTAACTTGTTCCCGTGCAGTCAGAGAGGTTGGCATTCTACACAAATATTCAGTTGTCCCTACCAACATTTTAATCATCATATATACACGGGAAAGCTGCTGTGAGGTGACTTTAAGAGGATAAACACATTAGCATATGAGCTAATCAACAACATTAGCTCATATGCTAATTAGCATCGAACACGTGGGAGACAGAGGCCTGCCTGAAAAAACAAATCAATATATTTCTTAATTATAACGAGTATTAAGATTTAAAAAAAGCAGTGTTTCTCACCTCCTGTTGGCTCCTCTCTGGCTCTGGTTTCTTCTTCTATGGTTATATGGCGGTTAGGAAACAGCTTTCAGGAGCATTTACCGCCACCTTCAGAAATGGAGTGGATCAGCAGCTCGGTGTTAATCCAAATTCTTAATATAATTTATGTCCTTTCTAAAAACCTAAACACTGCCCTGTATGCTACATCACCTGAACTCCTTCTCAACATCTCTACTACTATATTTAATTCGGTTTGATTTCTGTGCAGTGCTTCCTTTAGTAATAAACCTTCTTCATGGTATTTGAGACATTGCAAAGAAATGTGCTCTACTGTTTTCATAATGACCACAATACTCACATTTACCTGTTGCATGTTCTTTCGTAACGAATAATGTGTTATTTAGCCCTGTGTGACAAACAAAAACCCATGATCTATTCTAACCTAATGTTATTTTTGACCTACCCCAGTTTCACTCAGAAAGGTAAACAGTGCCTTTCTGGTAGCTCTTACTCCTTCTCCTTCTGTTCCCAGAATACTAATATAATTCCTGTCCTTTTTAAAAACCTAAAGGCCTCCTTCAGACCAGCTGATAAATCACAGCTCGACCAGCTGATGGTCAGGAGGGCGGGGTCTCTCCTCACCTGTAGAGAGCAACCAATTAACATAAATTAACCACCTGTTAGATTCAGTTTCCTTCACCAATGTTCTATCGTTTTTACACTTTACAATTAAATAATCAGATAATTAACTCGTAATTTTGGCTCTTTTATATTTTATCAGGCAACTTAAATGCATTTTCTTCAGATGCTGCAGCCGTACATCATTTCTGGTTCTGCTTGGATGTGCTCAACAAACAGATGTATTTAATCAAGAATGAGATAAAATATTCATATATTATTTACACACACAAAACGTGAACAGAAGGGGTACACAGGTACAGATAGAGACAAAAGGAAAAGATACATTCTAATTAAAAAACTAAAATATTTTCCATTTTGGTTTTTATCGCCTTTTTATTAATAATATATTTTTTAATTGGTGCCATATTAAAATATGGAAAATATGGTTTGGAGTCAGCCCATTTCTTCCTAAAGAATGGGACATTTTCCAGAATATAACATTTTATAACATCGGTATCAATCCCACTTTTAAAATATATAAATCATCTTGAAGTTCGTCCCGTTTTTCTGCAGACCAAAAAACTAGACAAAACTTAAAGGGGACCTATCATGCAAAATGCACTTGTGTACGTCTTGTATACATGAATATGTGTCCCCGGTGTTCCAGGGAACTCACCAAGTGTCAGAAAACACAACCCTCTCTCTTTTCCTCCGTACCCACATCTCTAAAAACGGGGCTGCAACGGATCTGATACAGATTTGAAATTGTTCTGGTCAGAAACAGGGAGCTCCGCCTATATGGGCAACTCTCCACCTATCAGGGGAATGAGAGGTTGCCGTGGCATGGTACCAGCATGGTAACATGACACTTGTGCCTCACCCCCTCCTTTGCAGGGGGGCGTGGTCAGCTGCATCTCATTTGCCACAGAATCAGCCCTTGCTAAAACAGGGCTGGAATAGAGCAAATAGAGCGAAATGAGGCATGGCTAAAATGCAGGATCTGTTTGGTATTTTGAAAAAAAAAATGTATTATATGGGTATAGCCCTACAATATATTATTCAAATATAGCATGATAGGTCCACTTCAAACAAGTACAAACCACAGACTGTCTGTGTCATGGAGAATACAGTCGCTGGTTTATTTATGTCTGTAGGCCGTTGTTGTGAGTGTGGACGGTCGGAGCATATATAACGTTAGCTTAGCCAATCTCCATTCAGAAAACACGCATTTTAAAAGGTGTTTCGCCGGCCGTCTGTCTGCAGACTTGTCAAAGCATTAATTCATGGTTTTTACTAACCGGTATCAGCATGTTGTTACTTCGGCATCATTTTGAAACGTGGATTACAATTCAATCACGGTCAAATATGTTCATCTTGTTGTAGTTGTAGCCCCCTTGCCAGTGATTCTCTCTCTAGTTTAGCATACTCAGCCCGACTGGTTGTTGGCCCGCTAAGAACCTCGGTTTTATGGGGCCAGAAAAACTGTGAAATAGGACCCGCTAGCCGGAACTACGCCGAGTGGAAACGCAAACAGAAACGGGCCGGGTACGGCACGCTTAAACCGCGAAATGCGCCATAAGTGTATCGGCCTGAAAAAGCAACCATATAAATCAGAATAAAGTCTCGTAGGAACCAGACAGTTGAATTCTGCAGGTAGCGACTCCGTTTCTCCTCAACGCTGCTGCCTCACCTGCATGATATCAGGAGAAATGAGAAAACCCGAAAATAATGTAATCTTGAAAGGTATTCCCAGAACAAACACACGGCTGCTTCTTATCTTATTATTTGAAGGAACAAATTGCAACAGACTTCCAGCATTTATCTATTAAACAGTTTGAGCAGTGTCATCAAATAAGTCTGTCTGCAGCTCAGAGAGTCCTGAACCTGGACATGTTGAGAAAGTGTTCTGATAGAAATGTAGAGTCGGGTCTCCAGCACAGAGAAACTGCTGGGTGCTAACCTGCACATGTTGGGACATTGACACACTCAGTCCATTTCTGACATTTTCAGGATCATAAATGTCAGTTTGAACCAGAGAGGCCATATCTGTACTCTCTGTGGACTGATTCTGATGCATTGTGGGTCCATTTGAAAGATGTAGGGGACTCTGGGTCATTTGGATTGCACAGATTGCTTATTTATTTGAATATAAATTGTCCAAAGTCGAGGTAATAATGTTCATCTTGTGCTCGCTATCCAATGGTCTCAACACTCCTCATGGTAGCCAGTTGTCCACATGGGCTATGATGCTAATTAGCACAACATATGCAGGTTAGCACTCAGCTGGAGGGTTAAGGCTGCTGACCCCTGCCTTACATGAAGTGTGTCATACTTGTGATACTTCACGTGTAAATGATAATACCTTATCTTCATCATGTTAAACCTTTGTATCAAACATTGAATCAAGAAGGATTTGCCAAACAGGTTGAATTCATGAGATCATGGACGCTGTCTATAAACCTTTATTAAACGTAATGACGATCACTACAGTCTTCAGTATCAGCTTTAATACGTTGCTTCAAAAAAACGTTATCACATTGAAAATCAACAGTGTGTTGGACACGGCGAGCTGCAGGAGATCTCATCTAATCTGAACATTTTAAGAAAGACAAAAACACACTTCTGACAGTAAAGACACAATCAGTGAGACACATGTTAACCAATGAGAAGCCTCGATTTAAAACACCAACATTTAAACCCCAGGACAGGAAGTGGTCTCCTCCTACAGAGGACACAGAGACACTGAGGAGTCATCAGACCAGACCCCAAACCCAGCGTAGAGAGGTTCAGTGAATATGGTTCTGAGGGTGTGGAGGTGGATCAGTTTGTCAGAGGAGACTTCGTAGAAGGAGAGAGAGCGAGCAGGGAGATCCAGATACACTGCTACTCTACCAGAGGGGGAGGAGGAGGAGGAGGAGGAGGAGGAGGAAGAGGAGGACGAGGGTATTACCATCGTACAGTACCAGAGACAGTAACCATAATGCGAGTATCCCAGACTCCAGGACTCATCACTCCCTCCAAACAAACAGTCCCTATTCTTTCCTCTCCTCTTGATTCCTCTTGAAGTCACTGATATAGCAACGTCTCCGCTCCACTCGACCTCCCAGTAACAGCGACCAGTCAGAGCTTCTCTGCACATCAGCTGAGGATAGGAGTCAAACCTCTCTGGATGATCAGGATATGGCTGCTCCTTTCCCACACGTGTCACCTTCCTGTTGTCCTCAGACAGTCTGAGGTCTCTGTGTGCTGTGTTTGAGTCCAGGGTGAGTTCACAGGAATCTGATGAGAGACAGACAGCAGTTTATCATCAGACCCACCTGAAGGCTTTACTCTCCGTTAGTGGTCCTTTCTATAAAGCTTCAAGATGTCATGTTTTAATGAATAAATACCACCTCCATCATCTTTGTCTCTAGAGAGAAGCTGACTGATCCACACTTACACTTCCTCAGACCTGGTTTTAGCCTCTGCTCTCCACCATGGTCCAGCCTGGAGGTAGAAACACAGTCAGTGTCACAAACGAGCTGAGAACCAAAATGCAAAACACGGGAAACCAGGGATAGTCGGTAACCAGCTTCATTATAAGCAAAGGGCTGGTCGGGGACAGGCGAGGGTTCCAGGAGAAAGCAGGACGGGAGTCGTAGGTACAGAACGGGTCAGGGAGCAGGCGAGGCAGGCTGGTCAGGGGCAGGCAGGGTCGAAACCGGGAGAGCAATCTGGAAGATAACGCGGGAAAGACTGGCATGCTGCAAAGTACGATCTGGCACTGAGGTGAGAGTGAAGTGGGCCTAAATACTAATGGAGCTGATGGGTGTAACAGAGTGAGAGAGAGAGACAGGGTGTGACTACCAGGTGACTAAGGAATGTTAATGCAGAACATAGGTGAGTGAAGGAGCAGACTGTGACAGTCAGGATGGTTGTCTATCCAACACGAGTCCTAGCTGCTGTTCAAGCTGAAGCGGAGCTCAGTCTGTCCGTAGGACAGAGAGACGTGGAGGAAGAAGAAGACTTTTGCAAAAACACTTTTACATATTCAACAAAGGTACATATACTTAAATTAAAGTGCTTCATTGTGCACAAAATGGATTTACTTAAAATAATAAATAAAAACTGGTGCAAAGTGCAAATCGTCGTTCACTACAGAACACCTCATGTCGTTGTAGCACCAACGACATCGTGACTTTCATTAAAAACGTCTAAAAGATCATTTGATAAGACGTCCCAGTAGGCTTTATAAAACTCTACGGAGAGGCCGTCCCAGCATGCCTTGCAGGGCGGCGTGCAGCTCCTGGACCGTCAGCGGCCTCTCCAGCTGTGAGCTGGCTCTCTCTCCGCTGCCATGCCCTGTGCACCAGGCCAGCACTCCTCAGCTTGATCATTTGTTATTTGTGACCAGTTTGGATGCTATAAATAAATGATTGTTTTGGGCAACTTTTGTTTAAATATTCGTTCCTTTTGTGACAAAAAGAGCCAGCTTGTAACAAGGTCCTCATCCCGATTGTTTATAATCACATACAGCTGTCTCCTGTGAGACACTACATGCTTTAATAGAGGAGATTTGCTGATTTGATTCCCTGCCTCCGAAGTCAGCAGGGATAGATCATCTTTCACCATGGCGTTAGAGAGCGGACCAGCACAGTTCTTCCAACTCACTCTCAGCATGCACTCAAGAGCAGAAGAAGAAGTGATGTAAAGATAATCAGAGAGTCTTTATCAATTCAATCATATTTCACGGTGGTGCGGTGGAAAGTCAGGATCAACCCTCTAGGGATCGAAAAACAGAATCTCATCTCAACACATTTAGCAGTTGGTGAGATATCTCAGTCAGAACCACATTCATAAGCTGACCATCATCATCCTCCCTAGAGCCAGGAACCAGTGGTTCTGATGGACTGAACGGCTGTTTCCATGTAATAAGACTTCAAGGTTAACTCACTGCTGTGAACATAATCAAGGGAAATGAGACGTCCTTCATGATGGAAGACCAGAGATGAAGGAGATGACATTAGAAAAATATGAGGAAGTCAGTCTGTCCATACCTGAGAGTGTCCAGTCTCCAGAGGGGGTCCTCCAGTCCAGCAGACAGCAGCTTCTCTCCTGAGTCTCCTGGATGATTGTAGCTCAGGTCCAGCTCTCTCAGATGGGAGGGGCTGGAGCTCAGAGCTGAAGCCAGAGAAACACAGCCTTCCTCTGAGACCAGACAGCCTGACAGACTGGAACCAGGGAATACAGTAAACTCAGGGCTTTAAAAAGTCACATGAGCAGGAAAATCATACAGAGGTGGACCATCTTCATCAACATGAACAAAAAGATGGATGAAAAGAATTGAACTGCTTGAAAATAAAAGGTGAACCCTGACCTGAGAGTCTCCAGTTCACAGTGTGGACTCTCCAGTCCAGCAGACAGCAGCTTCACTCCTGAATCCTGCAGGTCGTTGTTACTCAGGTCCAGCTCTCTCAGACCAGAGGACTGGGAGCTGAGGACTGAGGACAGAGCTGCACAGCTTCTCTCTGACAGCTTGCAGCTAGTTAACCTTAAAAGAGAAAATGTTGATCTTAATATTGAATGTGATGAAGAACTATGTTTTGAATGACCTAATATTTTATAATTTTCCAAGCTATTAATAGCCTACTTTACATCTGTCTGTGCATTGTCGTTAGAGAGATTCATATGAAACCAGTTGTTTCAACATGTCATGTGACTCCCTGATGATTGCCTTCAGGGAGAAGGTTCCGCAGTCTGAGGTCGAGCTCCACCCGAGTGAAAAAGAGCTTTTTCCCCCAGGCTGTCAGGAGGCTGAACTCTCTCCCCTCCCTCCCACCTCTCCCCCTGCCCCCATTGGACCTGGACTTTAACACTCCACACACACCACCAGACACTCTACGCATATGGACCGTTTTTTTACACTAATGTACATTTTTTACTGTAATATATTCATCCACATTCGTTTGGAAGTTACTATTATTTTGTATATATTGACTGTTGTGTTTTCTTTTTATATATATATTTGTATTTTTTAATCCTCTGGATTGTGGGAAACAGTAATTCGATATCTCTGTCTGCGCACTCAAACTGGAAGATTGACAATAAAGTTGTCTTTGAATATTATATGCATCTAATTGTAATGAAAAAACTAAGAAAACTCACATGGAATTAAGACTATTTCTGTGTAGATTAAACTGGTGGGTAATGGGAGAGCCAGTGTGACACGATCAATATCAGCTGAACCCTGACCTGAGAGTCTTCAGTTCACAGTGAGGACTCTCCAGTCCAGCAGACAGCAGCTTCACTCCTGAATCCTGCAGGTCGTTGTTACTCAGGTCCAGCTCTCTCAGACCAGAGGACTGGGAGCTGAGGACTGAGGACAGAGCTGCACAGCTTCTCTCTGACAGCTCACAGCCTCTCAGCCTGGGGAAAGATCAGCAGTGAACACAAAGAGTTTTATTCTCATGTCTCAAACTGTTCCTAGTTAATGTGGCTTTATCTCCACTTACAGAGCTTTCCTGGAGGCTTTGACCACTGGCAGCAGCCTCAGAAGAGCCTCCTCTGAAGCAGAGTATTTCTTCAGGTCAAACACGTCCAGATCTTCTTCTGATGACAGTAAGATGAAGACCAGAGCTGACCACTGAGCAGGAGACAGTTTATCTGTGGAGAAACCGCACCATGGGTCCCAATTCCGGTACCGCTGCATCTCCTCCACTAGAGAACGATCATTCAGTTCATTCAGACAGTGGAACAGGTTGATGCTCTTTTCCAGAGACGGGTTCTTTCTTATCTTTTTCTTGATGTATTCAACTGTTTTCTGGTTGGTCTGTGAGCTACTTCCTGTCTGTGTCAGCAGGTCCTGTAATAAGGTCCGATTGGTCTCCAATGAAAGACCCAGGAGGAAACGGAGGAACAAGTCCAGGTGTCCGTTTGGACTCTGTAAGGCCTGGTCCACAGCACTCTGGTGGAGATGTGTTAGTTTTGGTCTGAAGACTTTAGGCAGGCAGGAGGTTGTTGGTTCTTCTGACAGCAGGTTGACTCCAGAGGTGATGAAGGTCAGATGGACATGAAGAGCAGCCAGAAACTCCTGAACGCTCAGATGGATGAAGCAGAACACCTTGTTCGTGTACGTTCCTTTCTCCTCTCTAAAGACCTGTGTGAACACTCCTGAGTACACTGAGGCTGCTCTGATATCGATGCCACACTCTGTCAGGTCGGACTCATAGAAGATCAGGTTGCCTTTCTGCAGCTGCTCAAACGCCAGCTTTCCCAGAGACTCCATCGTCTTCCTGCTCTCTGGACTCCATTGTGAATGTGTTGCACTTTTTTCCTGGTACTTCACGTTCACTTTGGACTGAACCACCAGGAAGTGGATGTACATCTCAGTCAGGGTCTTGGGCAGCTCTCCTCCCTCAGTTTTCAACATGTCCTCCAGAACTGAAGCAGAGATCCAGCAGAAGACTGGGATGTGGCACATGATGTGGAGGCTTCGTGAGGTCTTGATGTGGGAGATGATGGTACCGGCCTGCTCCTGATCTCTGAATCTCTTCCTGAAGTACTCCTCCTTCTGTGGGTCAGTGAACCCTCGGACCTCTGTCACCATGTCCACACACTCAGGAGGGATCTGATTGGCTGCTGCAGGGCGTGTGGTTATCCAGAGGTGAGCAGAGGGAAGCAGCTTCCCCCTGATGAGGTTTGTCAGCAGCACATCCACTGAGGTGGACTCTGTGACATCAGTCAGAATCTCAGTGTTGAGGAAGTCCAGAGGAAGTCGACTCTCATCCAGACCGTCAAAGATGAACACGACCGGGAACTGATCGAACCTGCAGATTCCTGCGTCTCTGGTTTCAGGGAAGAAGTGATGAACAAGTTCCACCAAGCTGTACTTGTTCTCTCTCACCACATTCAGCTCTCTGAAGGTGAATGGAAATATGAACTGGATGTCCTGGTTGGCTTTGCCTTCAGCCCAGTCCAGAGTGAACTTCTGTGTTAAGACTGTTTTCCCAATGCCAGCCACTCCCTTTGTCAGCACTGCTCTGATTGGTTTGCCTCTTTCAGGTGGGGCTTTAAAGAGGTCTTCTTGTGTGATGGCTGTTTCTAGTCTGTCTGGTTTACTGGATGCTTGTTCGATCCGTCTGATCTCATGTTCCTTGATGACCTCTGTGGTGTCTCCCCTGGTGATGTAGATCTCCGTGTAGATTTCATGTAGGAGTTCAGATTTTTCCATACATTTGAAAAGTTCAATTATTTCCTTCAGGTTTGATTTGAGTTCACCTTGGCACTTAGTGAGAATCTCTGAATGAATAAGAAAGACATTTACATGAAAGAAACATCTAGGCCTGTCGCGATAAGTAATTTATTGATCGTACGATAAAGAAAAATGAACTCGATAACTTTTCTGACCTCGATAAATTGCTGTTCCCATGCGTGTTTGTTTACATAAGGATGTGACCAGCATTTTAGCCAGGCGTGCTGTGTCTGCCGGCCCGGCGCACTGTGAGGGGCGGGGCTCACACACAGCCAGGCACGCTGTGAGGGGCGGGGCTCACACAGAGCCAGGCACGCTGTGAGGGGCGGGGCTCACACAGAGCCAGGCACGCTGTGAGGGGCGGGGCTCACACACAGCCAGGCACGCTGTGAGGGGCGGGGCTCACACAGAGCCAGGCACGCTGTGAGGGGCGGGGCTCACACACAGCCAGGCACGCTGTGAGGGGCGGGGCTCACACACAGCCAGGCGCGCTGTGAGGGGCGGGGCTCACACAGAGCCAGGCACGCTGTGAGGGGCGGGGCTCACACAGGGCCAGGCACGCTGTGAGGGGCGGGGCTCACACACAGCCAGGCACGCTGTGAGGGGCGGGGCTCACACACAGCCAGGCACGCTGTGAGGGGCGGGGCTCACACACACAGCCAGGCACACTGTGAGGGGCGGGGCTCACACACACAGCCAGGCACGCTGTGAGGGGCGGGGCTCACACACAGCCAGGCGCGCTGTGAGGGGCGGGGCTCACACACAGCCAGGCGCGCTGTGAGGGGCGGGGCTCACACACAGCCAGGCGCGCTGTGAGGGGCGGGGCTCACACACAGCCAGGCACGCTGTGAGGGGCGGGGCTCACACACAGCCAGGCACGCTGTGAGGGGCGGGGCTCACACAGAGCCAGGCACACTGTGAGGGGCGGGGGCTCACACAGAGCCAGGCACGCTGTGAGGGGCGGGGCTCACACAGAGCCAGGCACGCTGTGAGGGGCGGGGCTCACACAGAGCCAGGCACACTGTGAGGGGCGGGGCTCACACACAGCCAGGCACGCTGTGAGGGGCGGGGCTCACACAGAGCCAGGCACGCTGTGAGGGGCGGGGCTCACACACAGCCAGGCACGCTGTGAGGGGCGGGGGCTCACACAGAGCCAGGCACGCTGTGAGGGGCGGGGCTCACACACAGCCAGGCGCGCTCACACACAGCCAGGTGCGCTGTGAGGGGCGGGGCTCACACACAGCCAGGCACGCTGTGAGGGGCGGGGCTCACACACAGCCAGGCGCGCTGTGAGGGGCGGGGCTCACACACAGCCAGGCACGCTGTGAGGGGCGGGGCTCACACACAGCCAGGCGCGCTGTGAGGGGCAACGTGTGACTTACTCGAAATTTGAAGTTAAATGGAATTAGTTTGAGAAACCTAATTCCACATCTCCAGTGTGGTAATATTTTGGATTCAAGCCAAATCAACGGGGCGAACCTACAGACTTGAATGAGCCGGTATGTCGCATTTGTTTTAAAAAGGTAGCAGCAAAAGCTAGCAATACGACCAACCTTAAACTGCACCTGAAACACAACCACCCCGTTCAGTTTTCCCAGCTGGGAGCAAACACGGCAGCTGGAGATGGAGAGCCCACACCTTCCCGACTTACTTTATTTAAAAAAAACTATTTTTACTACTGCATTTTCACAAATGCAATTGCGTGTTTTGGCCACAAGAGAGCTCTGTTTTCCAGCCTGAGTCTATTTAATTTATCGTTTTGGTTGTGTGTGATTTATTTAATTAATGTTATAATTTTTATTTATTTGCTTTATTTATTATATATAATTTATATATTTAAATATTATTTCACATTTCCTTTGCAATGTTGAATGTTCAATAAAAAAGGATGTACTTATAATTATTAATTTATTATATATTATCATTATGTCAGTGGTCTAAAATGGTCTTACAACGGTGCCGACAATATTATCGTTTATCGCAATCATTTCCGGGAAAATGTATCGTCCAACAAAATTAATTATCGTGACAGATCATCAAAAATGTTTCCTTCTAATTGGACCCATCTCTGACAAAATAGCAGGTTATTTTCCTTATATCAAGTCACTGGATCTTGTTGCATAATTATCTGTACATGTCCAGTATAAGTTCCACCCCACAGAGAACCATCTGTTTCCCCACAGAGAACCATGGCCCTAAACCTGACTGACTCTTATTCCTGCGGCTGGGAGATGAGGCACGATACCAGCAGATCCCAACACCCACTGAGGGTGTGGACACAGCTCTCTCTCCAGTTATACAGGAAGTGGATGGCTCTTACTGAGTCGCAGTATACTCCTGCAGTAGCCTACCATCTACAAGACACCCTGGGGGGTCCCAGTAATAACCCGTCCCTTCCTCACCAAGTCATGTTGGACGGCAAATTATACCTCCTTCCACCTGTAGGGGGCTGGGCCATTAGTAATGACTAGGACAGAATCTGCAGTGAGGCTGAGCAATGTGCTCCTCTGATGTCTAGAGCTAACCCTACAGACAAAGGACACTGTCTGCTTCCCTGCAACATTGAACAGGAATTTCAATCACAGCTGTCCAATGTTATGTCAGGACAAACCTCCACAGTGTGTCCCTGTGGCCCCTTCAGACCACCTGAACAGCTGTTCTCCAAGCCCTCAGCTCTGCCTCCTGAACTCAGTGTGCATCAGTCCCATTCAACATCCTTAGACTGAGTCAGCAGCTAACCTACACTGTGGAAAACAGCCAGGGTTTATCCATGACTCCCCCTCCTGAGATATCTGACAGTTTGGCAGGACAAACCTCATTCCAAACATAATCTTTCTATTTTTATATTTTTTCAGCTGTATCATGGAACAAAATGGAATGTACCTGGGAACACATAGCACTCAAGGACTCACTGTCACTTCAGAGCCCACTGATGACTTTCTGGTCAATCCTCTGATCCATCCCATCCCCAACACTGGCTTTTGGAATCACCCACTTATATTACATATCTCCAATGTCCCACCAGGAGAAACTCGTTAATATAGCATTGGTGGTTCAGTGGTAGAATTCTCGCCTGGACCCCGGGTCCGATTCCCAGCCAATGCAGCAGAGTGTTTTAGTGCCGCAGTCCGTAGGAATTTGTCTTGGGAACCGAAGGGTCGGCGATCGTACCAAAATAACACAGTGTGTAGACTGGTTCCTGGAGAGGTGCCAGTTCACCTCCTGCCCTTGAGCAAGGCACAGAACCCCAAACTGCTCCCTTGCACCAGACAGACTGGCCGCCTGTTTTGCTCAGACATCTCTCACCTGTCCTGTGCATGTGTGTGTGTGTGTATTGTACTGTGTGTTACCACAACCGAGTGAACAACTGAGGATTTGGGATCTCCTTCTTAATAACATCGGCTGGCGCATCATAATGACGTTGGATAGTGTCAGTGCGGTCAGACTCTCAAAGCACAGCAGTCTCTTTTCCTAAGTCCTGATGAATCCTTCTATCATTAACCCAAAGATGTTTCACAGAGGTTAAGGAATAGTGGTTAGGAAGAGATTTTTGGACAATTCCACCAAACTCTAGTCTCCCTAATCCAGGAAAGGTAATTGGATTCCTAAGATGCTGATCTATAAAGGTTTTACTACCCCTCACCTGGAACCAACAGGGTGACCTTGCCAGAAACTAGTGACCCTAACCTCTCTGCTTTCAGGGGTACCTCAACCCCGACACCATGTGGAGGTGATGGTTCTCTGAGGGGTATATCAGGAGTGGAGTGCATCAGCTGGGCGTCAACAAGTAGGTTTTAACTCTAACGTCGGGCTTAGCTACGTCCGACTTAGTGATTTGAATTTACACCAAGCGCACCAAGCATGACTAGTCACGGTCGTAGCTGTGCCTAGTCTAAAGATGCGCGTCCACATAAAAACACGCGAAACAGTAATTGTTGCCAAGCAACACACGTCTACATAATTTAACACTCGAACTTCTCCATTCAAAAGCAAGCTGTACACTTTTAAGAAAGGCCCCGTTAGCGTAAAATCTGAGTGCAATCGGCACCTGCAAGGTAGGGGAGAGCGCAGCGTTCCTTTCTGATCCGTGCTGGAGTTGAGGGGAGATCTCCTCGATTAATTCAAAAAGGACTTGTCTACCGAAACGAAACCTCAATCAGCTCACTGTCCGAATAGATGTCCCAGTGGGTTTGTTCGATCACGGACGACTCTCTCATCTTAATGCCCTTTCATTGTTAAACCTGTAAACAAGACGCCCTGCCATCATTATTTTCCTTCTTGCCTGTTTTTACGTTACTATGGATACTAGTCTGTCTTTCCGATTTACGCCTGCTCCATACTCGGCATAAAAGTTACACCCGGGCGCAACGCATAGCGGGCTTAAGTCTAAGTGGTGCACTAGTCATAACTTTAGTTTGGTCTTAACCTTCGGTTCTACGTAGGACGTAGAGATACGACCAGCTGGTGCTAAAAACATACAAAGTTATCTTTTGGCACACTCCCTTTTTTAAATACCTACCTTTAGGGTCTGATGGGATCTTTGATAATTTCTCTTCAAGATAATTCTGATTTATCTCCCTCAAAACTTCTCTGGTCACTTTACTGGTGTTCACGCAGTGGTACAGAAACATCAGATCCACTGTGTCCATCCGGTCTGCTTTCTCTAGTTGACTCTTTGGGATTCCTGGGAATCCTAGGACCTCCTCCTGCAGGCACCACTTGAATTCTTTAAAGTCCTTTTCCCCCAAACTTTGCACAATTCTTAATAGGACTTTTCTAGGTGTCTCCGTCTGTTCTCCCTGCAGAGCAAAGATACCAAGATAGAACATATTTATCTTACAGAACGTTATGTTGTTTTATTGTATTTTCTACTTTTGAAAACCACAACAGGACTTCGGGATCCAAAGCACAGCTGCCATGTGACTTTGGATGGCTTCAATTCAGATGTCGAGTTAGTAAATGCCCTAATCGGTTCTAAACTTGTTTTAATACCTTTGACTTCATGACTTCACGAAAGATATTCAGGAAGTCAATCCTAAACTTGAAGACAGTCAGCACAGTCAATTCTGTCTTTTCCTTGAATGTCTTGGTTTGGTAACCTGTCTTTAAAGAGCAGAAACTGTCTCAGTCAGATCATAAAGTGGTCTAGCAGACTGAATGGTGAGTCACAGCTAAACCTGGAGCCCCTGCTCATCAGACAGAGGCAGTCTAACTCCATTTTTAATGAAGACTCCCACCCCCTGCAACCTGAACTTCAGCTTCTTCCTTCGGGCCAGAGGTTCATCTTCCTAAAGGTGTAGAACCATGAGGTTTAAAAACAGCTGTCTGCAAACCAAGTCTACCCACTGGTACAAAGAAATAACCTGGACCTGAACTGGACAGATGGGATATTGTGACAGTGGGATACAGTTAGGGCTGATGGTAGAGAGAGACTCACACACCTGGTTCTGGTCTCTTGCAGTAAGCTGGTTACTGGTCATAGGTCCAGGTTCAGGTCCAGCAGAATGTGGTGTTTGCTCTGGGCTGGAACACAAAACACAGAGCTTTGAGTGAATAATGAGTGCTGAGCTGCGACGTGGAGAAGAGTCCTGGACAGTTGGAGATCTCACCTCTGAGCTTTGGTCTGGCTGTCATGTTCCCCAGAGCTTTTAGAGGGGGAGGCTTCCTCCTCTCTGTCCTCACACTGATCCATAGCAGAGCCCCCACCTTCACACAAACACAACAACATGCTCATTCATTACCACAAGCGTTACATCACAGGTAGTGCTCCTCCTCTCAGATATTCAGGAACCTTGTTGGAGCCTCAACAGGACCTGATCAGCCCAGAATGTTCCCCACAGCCCCAAACAGAAACCCATACATATGTGTTAGTGCAGTGGTTCTCAAATGGGGGTACGCGGACCCCTAGGGGGATTTATTTTATGTTAATGAAAAAAAAAAAAAAAAAAGTTTAGGAAAAGTAAGGAAGTTTGAGCAGAGTGGGTTTTATATTAACAGAGTTTCACATATTTCAAAACACGAAGTGTAATAACTGCAGGTTGCCTCGCTGTCAGAATGACAAAGATCCTCAGTGAAGCACAAGCCCATGTTTCTCTACATTGTACAACTTATTAAAAAGATCAGTTCAAAGCAACTAATGTCGTCTCTGTGTTATTGCATGATGTTAAAATTGGTTTGCCATGAATTTAGTGATGGATTGTGAACATTTGAAATTTAGCATTTAAGTGTTTCTCAGTTACAAGGTTGTTGTTTGAATAAATCAGACACTGATGGTGCAGCGCTGTACTGTACCTCTTTATATAGGCTTTTTTCCCTAACAAATTGTGTTTGCGCTGATCAGGGGGTACTTGGCTCAATTTTTTTTTCAAAGGGGGAACATGATTGAAAAAAGTTTGAGAATCACTGTGTTAGTGTATCACAGCACACACAAACAGTCATTTCAATGTACATTTACAGCCCTGCCCCCACAAAATATCCCACACAACTGTACTGCGCTGAGTAACCATTTAACAAAACTTCAACAAAACTTCTTTAAGATATAATTGTTTGGCTTAAAATATGTACGTTAATACATGTTCCGGACTTTAATTAAAAAAGCTCTTTTGTGAACTGATAAGAAATGTATTTTTTATATATCATTTGTTATTGATTAATTTTGTCTTACTCCTAGGAGTCTAACCTTTTCTGTGTGTTGACGTTTACGACCAACCCTAAGTCTGTTATCTGTCTTAAGGAATGGGAAGTCTCAGCTATTGTTGACATTACCAGTTTTATGACCGGTCAACTCTCGGTCACAGAGCCAAAGAGTCAGATAAGTGATTCAGTGTCTCCAGGTGTTAACGCCCCAATATGTTGTTTACTCTCTGTAAACTAGTTAAAGGGTCTATCCAGAGATAGGCGCGGCAGAATTGACATGGCAACCCACCCGGGCAGTCAGAACCTTTGGTTTGCTGTGACTTGTGATATGAATTCTCCGGCCGTATCCTTGTAATAAACATCATTGTTTGACATCAAAGCTCCAACTCTCCTCGTGTCTCTCTGAGTCCTGACTCTCCATTGCTGCAGAAGTTTCCCTTCCATCATTGACATGTGAAAAATACGTTCCCTCATAACTAAGTTACAATGCAGTTCAAATGTATGGGAAGAACATTTGTAATGTTTGATATAATATTTCATTTACTTTCATGCTAATGTCTCTTCAGGTCTACTCACAGAAACACTGCTCATCTCTTCCTCTTCAGTCCTGTGTCTGTCTGCATTTCCACTATCTTTGCTTTTTACGCAACCGTTTAAAACACCAACTGTCGCAAGTATGACGTCCGTGAAAGGGTGCAAGCGAACTGTCAACTGGGGGGGGGGGGAGCCTCGCTGCGGGGAAACGGCGGACCTCTGTCGGTGCAACTTCAATGATGCCATTTAAAAACATAAAAGGGAGGTGACATGTTTAACTCTGTTACATATGCACGCAGCGAAGAGAAGAGTGTAGGGCAGAATTAGATCTCACCGTTTTGAAATGCCGCTCTAAATTACCCTTCTTCGATAAAGCCACGCTCGCATCGCAGATGAGACAGATGGACTTTGAATTGGAATAAACAAAAAAATAATCATCCTCCCACTCGGAGTGAAAATTATATATTTTGGGCTTTTTTGCTTCTGCCATAATTGCGGTCTTGTGTGTGCGGACTGTCACTCCTGTTGACACGGACAACGTTAGCTAAGCTAACTAGTGCCCACCAGCCACGCCCCCACACATGGGGTCACGCCAATCACAAAGCTTTGATGCGTTCAAGTGCATTATTCTGGCACAGGAAGATTATGACATTAACGATAAAACAGAATATTGTTGTGCAAAATCTACAGCTCCTCTACCATAACCAACAACCAGCAACAAGTGGACATGGAGAACTACATGTTGCTAAATCCACCACGGAGAATAAATAGAAGGGCAACCAGGCAACCATGGCAACCATGCTCGGGGGGTCTTATTCGCTGCTTTTGGTGTATTTTGTGGCGGATGTACAGCGCCACAGGCCCGGCATATGTACTACAGCGTATCCAGCGGTTCGAGCGGTCTCGTGCGGACGGACACGTTTCTTGAGCCGATTCCGTGTGGACGGAAGACTTTTTTGATATCGAATTCGGTTCGTTTTCGTCTCCGTGTGGCTGCAGCCTTAAAGTCCCAACAGTCCATACTCGGGAAGACTCTTTAAAGTAAAGACAATACATACTGATATACACCTCAACAGGGACGTGCACAGACATTTTGGGGGGCAGGAGCTCAAGTGAGAAAAAGGGCACTTCCCATAATGATTTATAAAAGACTTACTGACAAATGTATTTTAATACCCTCACACTCACGCAATTGTTTATTACTCAACATAATTCTACTAATACTACGCACAAGAGCAGACAACAATCAAAATTATGAAGTTACTGTTTAAAGCAGGACATTAGAGGAAAAAATATCGTTTTTTCTTGTACTTGTCAATTTTGGTCTATTTTGCTTCCATGTTTTCTTTCACTGATGGAAAGAAAACTACCAAAAACCTCATATAAATGGTGTTCGTTTTACTACCTGTCTGAATTCATCTATAGATTTTGTAACGGAGGTGATCTCTGGGCCCATAGATCTCGGCCTCCGTTACGGGTAATATAGCACTAAAAACATTGCACAGGAAGCAGGGGAATATATGTAATTTATGTAACTAGTTTGTCTGTCTTTGTTTCCTGGTTTTATTCTGAAAAGTGTTTTGCCTCTGCCTCCTTGCTTGGTCTGGGCCGCTCAATTGTCGGCGTCACAGATTTAAAGCTAATCTTAAACATAACATTTCAGGGGAAAATACTGACTTGACGTAAGTCAACTGAAGTTGCGAGGCGATGTGTTTTGTTTTTGTTGGGGTTTTTTGTATTCTTTTCACCTGCAATGCTTTGGTAAAAAAGGCATGCAAATTGGTGAATTTTAATAAGGCCTAGTTAACACCTAATTTGCATATCAATGTGGCGATTGTGATGACGTTATTAGATACACATTTTACTGTATTCACCTGTAGTGTCTCCCATTAAAGGTCTCATGTCATGGCCATTTCTACTGATCATATTTCCATCGTTGAGGTCTACTAGAATAGATTTAAATTGTGCAATTTTCCAAACTCACATTGGTTTCTCACAGCATCTCTCTATAGTCTGTGTATTCACTCTCTGTCCTACACGGCTTGTTGGAGCTCCTGCCCCCCCCCCCCCCCCTCCCTCCCTGTGAGCCCAGTGTGCTCTGATTGGTCAGGACGTTGCGAGGCTCGTTGCTGCGAGGAGCGGACAGGCTTCTGGGTCGGCGATACAGCGAGAACAAGCGAAACTCATCCTGAGCACACAAACACTCACAGCCGAAGTAAAACCAGTGTGGCTTGATATTGAGTAAGAAAAAGGTTTATAACGCTGTGAGCATGGGTCTGTGCAGAGCATTCCTCCACCATCCCAACTTAGCAGCCCGAAAAACGTTTACCCATTCAAACAGTCGTGGTAGATACCTTGTTTGTTTTAAACATCATAAATAACTCTCAGAATTACGTTATTAGCACATTTTACAACTTGAGAACCGAATGTTTTTAATAAGGGCTATACAAGTGTTCATACTGGGTAGTTTATTTAGTTTTAAAAAAATTATCCAATGAGTTACAGACCACTCTTTCTCAATGTTAGTCAATGGGAAAAAGTGTTTCCGGGCCCAGCAACCTAACGGAAGTGTAGTACCGCCCTTTGGCCACTACGAATATTCTCATCAGCGTCCGGCACACTTCCTGGGGGCTCCGGGTTTACGCCGATACGATAATTTCCTGATAACGTTGAAGCAATAGCCCCGCCTCTCCCCACCTCTCCTGCTCAGAGATCAGCTGCTGGGCTCTCAGAAGAGGGGGAGGAAAAGAGAGGCTCCGTTTTTTATTATTATATAGAGTCGTTATCAATTTGTTTTAAAGCTCAATAAATAACAAAGAAGACCTTTGACCGGCATTTTTCTAATTTTGTCCGGAAGATTTCAACTTTAACGGACATGTTGACCGGCGAAAAAAAATCTAACTGAAACTCTGCTGCACGGCCCCCTCGTCCCTTGGAAGAGGCGGAGAGGTGGGTGTTTGTCATCTGCTGGTGGACTACCGGAGAGATCTACTGCAGCAGGAGCAAACGCTTGCCTCGGGGAGGGAGAAAAAGAGCCAGAGCGTCCACAGCGGAGAATAAATAACCATGCGCGGGAAGTCTCCTTCGCTGCTTTTGTGGCAGGACTACAGCGCCACTTACAGGCCAGTGGCGGCTGGTGGAAAATATTTTTGGTGGGGCTATGGAAATGGTGACCAAACCATACTTGGGGGGTCCGTGGGGATGCTCCCCCGGAAGAACATTTTAATAAATGACCCCTTAAATTATGACTTCTGGTGATGTTAGAGGGGTGGGGGGGGAGGACAAATTGAGGCTTAAAAATATGAGATAATCCATAATCTTCAGTGTGGTTAGCTATGAATCTTCCAAAACTTCCAAATACCTTGTCCTGGTCTGGACATAGTTTCAGTATAAACTGTGCAACAGTACAGTAGGCCCACACTAACTGCAGAACACTGGTGCTTTGGGAACACTCAAATGATTTAATTCCCATAAAATCAGGAAACTAAATACGAACATTATGTGTGTGTGTGTGTGTGTGTGTGTGTGTGTGTGTGTGTGTGTGTGTGTGTGTGTGTCATACTTGCCAACCCTCCCGATTTTCGCGGGAGACTCCCGATTTCATTGCCCTCTCCCGGTTTCCTCCGGGAGTCATATTTCTCCCGATTTCTGACAAAATCAGATTTACTCACAACTGTTTCCACTCAGACTTTAATACAGCTACACCATTGTTTGGTTTCCATGGTAGCGTGTCTCTTTAGCAGCGCGCGCAACTCAAAGTCTGAGAGGGTGAGGAAGATGAAAACTGAACAAGAATCAACAACTCCACCCTCTGCTCACTCCTTTCCTGTAAAACACAGGTCCAGCCCACACACATGCTCCATGGTGCTACAGGCATTGCCCTTACAACTACAATAAGCATGTAAATGTTAATCTACAGCTCCGCCGATCCACTAGCACCGGAGTCTCCACCTGCAGATGCAGCCATCCTCATCAACTACTGTAGCGTCACCTTGGATACGAGTCCAAACAACTCACAGACTGCACCGAGCGCTGAAATTGCCGCCCTGTGACCATCAGATCTGACGACGCTGATTGGCTGAAATTATGTTTCGGCGGTATAGTTTACAGATAGCAACAGTCAGCAATGTGTTGTAGGCACAACATAAATTAATAGATAAAATAAAACCATAAATACAAATGAAAACTGTCCAGGAGGGAACAGAAACATAATAATACATGAAATAAAATAGCCTTCAGTTTTGTGCATCACAGCAACAGCAGGTGGGCCCCTGGTGACTTTGACTCTGTCAAACAACTCTCCAGAGGCAGGGGCAAGCACATCTGTTATTATGGATGCTGCTTTTGTACGACCACATGACATTTTCTTTACTATCTCAGAGTCTGGAAAAATGGTCGGCGCTAGCTTGTTACCAGTCATTTGACCGGTATGATTGGGAGTGTTGCACTGTATGGTAAACACTGGTTATTTCTGTTGCTGTTACCTTGTCTGAGTGGCCATCATTTTTTGGTTTGAGTAGGAATGTCTGCATAGAGTGGGATGTCTCTTTTTGAGTGACACGTTTTGTGAGAATCGCATTCTCGGTGTCTTTTGACGTCGCATTCACCGCCATGTGAAATTGAAAAATTACTCTTGCAAAGATTGCAAAAAACTCTCTGAGAGTCGCCCTGCACGGGCTTCACCCACGGGTACGTGTCTTCCCAGTCTTTGTTGTATGTATGTGCATCTTCTTTTCTTCTTCGCTGTAGTTTCAGTTTCCTCCATTTTCCATAACCTGCTGCGTCGCCTGCGTTCGTTGTTGTTGTTTGGCGGGGCCGCGGGGGGGTGTGAGTGAGTTACTCTCATTGGTTAACACTTGACCAGCACCCGCCGTGTGTTACAGTTTGATTGACAGCAAACACAGCCCCGTGATGATAGCCTTCCCTGCTTTCTCAACAGCCATTGGATGAATCTGATTTTAAAGAAAAGCGTTTTAGCCAATCAAAATGAAATATGCGGGACATCGTCTCAATTTGCGGGACGCACCAAAAGTTGTGAAAATGCTGTGCAGTCCCGCGCAAAGCGGGACATCTGGTCACCCTAGCACTGGCTGAGGGCTCTTCTCTTAGCGCCCAGACGAGAGGGTAATGATACACGCTGCGGCCAGGCAGGAAACATGTGACTTATCAGTAACTTTAGACATCGTAAAACAATTTTAAAAGAGATTTTATAGTGGATTATACATTTTACTGATACCAACTATATAATATTTACCTTGTTCATTAAATATATTTTTTAATTTTAATTTTTAATGACAATCAAACATGTGGGAAGAGGGGGGGTAGCGCCCCTAGCGCCCCTATGGGCCGGCCGCCACTGGGCCTGGCATATGTATTACAGCGTCTCCAGCGCTCTCGAGCGGTCTCTGTTGCGTGTGGGCGGAAGACTTTTTTGATAACGATTGCGGTCCGTTTGCGTTATCGTCCTCGTGTGGCCGGGGCTTTAATCATCGGTGTTAATCTAAATTCTTAATATAATTCCTGTCCTTTTTAAAAACCTAAACACTGCCCTGTATGCTACATCCCCTGAACTCCTTCTCAACAGCTCTGCTGTATTTAAACTAGGGAAGTCGATTAAAATATTTAAATCTTAATTAATCGCATGATTGTCCATAGTTAATCGCGATTAATCGCAAATTAATCGCACATTTTTTATCTGTTCCAAATGTTCCTTAGAGGGATATTTTTCAAGTTTTTAATACTCTTATCAACATATGAGTGGACAAATATGCTTTATGCAAATGTTTGTTTATTATAATTAAAAAAGAATTTTGCGTTGCCTTGACAGCCCTAATTTAAACCCATTTGATTTCTGTGCCGTGCTTCCTTTAGTAATAAACCTTCTTATTTGAGACATTGCAAAGAAATGTGCTCCACTGTTTTCAAAATTACCACAATACTCACATTTACCTGTTGCATGTTTTTTCATAACGGATAATGTGTTATTTAGCCCTCCTGTGTGACCACATCTCCTTCTTGAAATTATGTCCTCCTCTTTTTTGACTTCTGTTGACTTCTCTTGTTTCTCCAACTTGAACCCGCCCTTAACTCCTCTGTCTCCTCTGTCTCCTCCGTCCCATTCGTCCTGCCATTTCTTTTTTAGTTGGGATTTGATGTTTCTTTGATTTCCTCCTCTCCTCCAGACTCCTGTCTTCAGGGTTCTTGTTCTCCAGGTGAAGTGGTCTCACCTAGTGATGGCAGTTTGACAGTGAAGCTTCGATTCGTGCTTCAAACCCTGGACTTCCTAAGCTTGCTTCAAATCACGTGACATGTGACGTCCGAAGCAGCAACTGCTTCATTTCCTGAATGAATCAACTCTCGTCTCGATTCTGACCACAAGCCCTATATAAATCTCTGCGAGACTTCCGTGCGTCCGGTGTCTCAGTCTGAAGAACGCTGCTGTGCTGCTGGTGTGAGCTAACGTGAGTACTTCTAGAACACGTGTTGGTTTAGAAAGCCTTAAAGAGAACTCCCGCTGTTGGCGAGTGAGCAGTTAACTTGTATATTCTGTGAGCTAGTTATGTGACTGCTTTAAAAAGCCACACTAAAGTGCAAACACAAGCACGTGAGTTAAATAAGGACAGCTGTTGGCTCCATGTTACATGAACACGTGTTTCAGTCAAACACGAGCTTTATTTTAATGGTAGCCGCAAACACCTTGTTTTGTTTCCATTTTGAATTGCTCTTTAAGCACACGTCGTAATAATCGGTCAGTTCTGTGGATTTTCTCTCAAAAGTATGGAGGTAATTATATTCATAGTAGCCTAACTAGTTTCTCAGCACATTAAGCCTTTTTTTTCTTTTTCAATGTAAGGTTTAATTATTTGAGGAAAGCATAGGCCTACATGTGTTCTGTATGTCAACAATTGCATACTATGGAAGTTATTTGGGCACAGTGGTAAAAAGTGAAGTCTGGCAGAGCCGTTTTCCGGTGATTGCGCCCTCTGGTCTCGAGTTCCAGTGTCATGAGGGTAGATCAATGCTGTAGTTTCAGTGAGTGGAGAGTAGCTGAACATGTTATACTGCCTTTATCTTGTGTACTATGTGTTTCATCTGTTTTCTCATTATAGGCATATTGACGATGGAAATCACATGACCGCGCTCACTCCGTGGGCTCAAAGCAGGTGTGTATGTCTTGAACTTCACCATGCTCTGCAAATGTACCGATGAAATGGAAATGCATTGAGTGTGCATCGTGTTTATGCTAAAGACTCATCGGGAATATTGAAATGTGGTAAAGCAGGCTAATCCTTTAATTGTGTTAATGTGGAGACCATGTCATATTATATATATATATACGTTAACAATATTTAGTTGGTTTAAAAACTGAACACGCCTTAGCTTAACGGACAGATCTAGGCATAAAACACAGCCGCGTGTAGTCGGGACTTGCGGCTCTGCTCATTTGCCATCGGCATATTCTTTCACACACACATACGGGTATTGGGCCGAGCGCGACACCGTACTTCCGGTCTGCGCCGTTTTACGCGAGGTGCAAGCAGCCGTACACCGTCTCGGTGTTGCTAAGCTTCCTGTACTGAATATCATAGTCTATTGCCTTAATCAATATCTAGTCAACTCTAAAATACCACATATATGCAATGGCATGATAATATTATTGTGACAAGTGGGGTATTCACCTGGTGTTTCCAGAAGATAGACGTAGATGCAGCCAAAATCGACGAAGGCCACTGTCGTTTTTCCATACATCTGCAGGCAGTCTGTAACAACCCACACAGCTCTAGTTTACGCTGGTAACGACCTAGAGCACACCCTCAAGTCCAGAGATGTAATCCGAAGACATGCAGCGATTTCTTCGGTCGTTAATTCAGAAAAAAAACCTACTGCGCTCTGCCTGTCTACGTTAGCTAGCTGTTTATATTTGCACTTCCAGGATATTAGCACCTCCAGGAAAATGGCGCATTTATATATATTTATATGGCGCGTGTTGCATTGTGGGTAGCTCGTGACGTCACTGTGTGTGAAAGAATGCTGCCAGAAATCATACTAACTCTAAACTCAGACTCCTTTCTTAGAATGAAAGTAATGAGCTGCTATCATCTCTCCTTAATGTGGCCTTCTTCATTGGGCACCAAGTGATACTGATGTTTCCCTTGCAGACATGCCCACATCCTGACCGACAACCATGTCCGAGCGGCAGCTCTCGGAAGGAGCTGCTGCCTCTGGGACTGCAGGTAAACACTGATGCATCATCCCTTCTGAAGCAGGACCCCCGTGGTGCCTCCCCTCCACCCCCCAGCACTCAGTCAGCTGACAGGCTGTGTGTCTGCCTCGGTGTTACAGTGCTGGCAGAGAAAGGCTCTGTGCTGCTCTCAGTGTGCAGACTCTGTTTTAGAGGCTGTTGCTGCTGAGCGGCTGCAGAGCCGGGCCCCACGAGAGTGGCCTGTCCTGCACCCACGCAGGGCCGGCCTAGTGCGGGGCCGCACACCCTCATACTGACACGCCACTCTGGTGCTGTTCAAGTCCCATTTAAAAGTAAACTATGCAGATATAACGACTATAAATTGCAGTAAACACGGCTCAAAGGTCACGCTGCAGCACACTGTACTTTGCACGCTTTATATTTTAATTGGATATATTGATCTTTGAACTAATTTCCATCATTAGTTAAAGACTTGCTTGCTTTGTGTTGCAGGTGGAGCCAGCAAGGACAGCACTGAGCTGCTTTCACTAACACTCGTCTTCTCTGAGGAGCAGCAGGACCTGACTTGGACTGGACGAAGCCTGGATAGTAAGTGCAGCTCAGTGTGTGTACTGTAAACCAGTGTGTACTCATGGCAGAGCCTTCGTCTCTGCTGTCGAATTTTAACATTGGAAGAGAAAGATCAGGACTTTGGCACAGACTCAGTGAAAACCATTTACTAGAGCCTGACTTAAGACCTGATACAAACTTTTGTAACGTTTTACATTCAACTATTTCTGCAGGCTGTGTGCTGATACTGTGCTTTGTGTTTCAGTGTGATGGCGTCAGTCCACCTGCCGCCCCCCATGGTCCAGCCCTGAGGCTGTGAACAGGACTTAAACATTGGGTTTAAATGTCCTAAAGGAATTGCCTACCTTATCTACAGGAGATGATTGTCCTGTATAAACAACTGTGAAATGTTTTTATCCTGTACACATATTCAAATAAATGCTCGAGCATCCACTCTGTTGTCCGGTCTGATTTGGGAGTCTAAAAGTTGAGTCTTAAATGAGGTGCTACATCTCAACAGGTCCTGGTACCTTCTGGACCAGGGGTGGCCAACCCGCGGCTCTCGAGCCGCATGCGGCTCTTTGCCTAGTTTCATGCGGCTCTTCAGTTCATATCGAATTGTATATGTGTGAGTTTGGGGGAGAGCCACTGACTCCTGACTAGTGTTGTACGGTGTACCGATACTTGAAAGGTACCGCGATTCCCTGCCGTTAAAAACGTTACTAATCCTCCGTTTCATTAGTATCGATACTTTAAGAATGACGGGGGAAAGTACTCCGGTGAGAAAGCGCCGTTTAATAAGAGCCGTGTATGATCAGCGCTCTGCTTCCATTCCCTGCACTGCAGCCGTGCCTGCAGTCCCTCCCCTCTCAAGCACGCTCTAAGTCCCTCCCCTCTCAAGCACGCTCTAAGTCCCTCCCCTCTCTCATGCACGCGCTAGCTGCCAGAGCATGTGAGAAAACGAGAAGCATGGCTGCAAGTGGGAGTGCAACTGCCGCTGCGCCTCGGCTTGTTGACAAAAAAGACGCCAGAAGCGACATTTGGAAGTATTTTAGCTATATCTCTGACAGTGAGGACAAGCCTACGGACACCACGAGGCCCGTCTGTAAGAAATGTATTAATTTTATTTAATACGAATTATTGTCATTTATTTTATTTATTGTTCTCATTGTTTAAAAGTTTGTGTTATGGTTCTGGGGTGAAATAAAGCACGATAATTACATTTAAGACTGTTTCCCTTTTTTTAAGAAAAGTATCGAAAAAGAATCGGAATCGCAATTCTTGACTTGGTATCGAAAACAAAATGTTGGTATCGTGACAACACTAGCTAGCTACTCCTGACAGTTAAACCTGATATTTAGTAGGTCTGTTAAGTATTGAATGCTGATAATTCTGACGTAATTTGGCCGGTCAAAGTTGTTTGGGCTCGGATAAAATCGCTCCGTTACTTTCGCTTCGTCCCGTGTTACTTTCGTCCCGGCTCTCCCTACATGTGTACGTGTGGTGTCAGGAGTCAGTATGAGAGGATGACAGCGTGTCTAATTTTGATGTGGCCCAAGAGCCAATCACAATAATACCTGTGATGCTGTGAACCAATCACCTTTGAGGGGGGGAAACCTATAGTTGATTAAACACTATCCAGTGTTTCCCCTACCATTGTCTTGGAGGGGCGCTGCACCCCGCCAACGGAGCCCCGCGCCCCCCCTGGAATTCAAGGTGTTTCAAAAATATATATAATTATTATTTTTTAATATATACATAGCACCAAATTGCAAATAATCTATAACTACTGTCACTTTTCACATTGAACATGTGCTCTTTTATTAAATAAACTAAACGCTTTCATTTTAAGTTGTGAGTTTATTGTTTTTGACCCTAAGAAACACTGATGCATTAATCAATACCAATAATCCACAGCTCCTCTCTCTGCTCCAGAGGATTTAAAAAATATATATCCCAATGCCACAAAAATGCATCAGTGACGTGGTTGAAATCTTGTCTCCAGAAAACAAAAAACTGAAACAAGCGGTATCAGTGACTGTGTGTTTGATGTGGCTCTTTGCAGTAAAATAGAAAAAAATTGGCTCTTAACCTCTGACTGGTTGGCCACCCCTGTTCTGGACTGTTGTTCCACATCTGGTACTGATGGTGTTAGTGGCAGCAGTGTGTGGGACATGGTAAACCTGTATTGATGGTTCTGAAGGAAGCTGTCTTCTGGCGCAGCAGGTACATCAGGCTGTGGTGCTCAAGGTCTATTATTGCTTCAGTCTTTTCATTGTGTCAAGTGTAGAACTACACACACTCGGTAGGCTGACTTTTCTTTGCATTTTCAAAGCTAATTGTTTGTAATGTGGCTAGCCAAAACAGCCCTGATGTCCCATTCTCAAAATCAGCTGGAGGACTATATCTTAAAATGCATAAAACTACTCTTAAGCAAAAACCTGTACATAAAAGTCAATACGTGATACAAATGGTGTGAAATGTTGCCCGTATAGTCCGAACATAGCTATACCCTCTATACTTGAATGTTCACCACGAGCCATCAGAACAGCTGCAGGTCACTAACGGGCCTGGCCGTTCTTGGACAGTTGCAAGACTTCATTGTCCTTTATGGATCAAATGGCATCTAAAACACTTGACTTCAAATGATCTACCACCTCACTCAGATGCTATATAAATATTTCACTGGTGTTCATATTTCTACCTCACAGGTCAGAGTGCAACATCAGTCACATCGACCTTAGCAGTGTTCAGACCTTTGGAGATGATTTAGTCCTAGGGCCCTTATCAAGGAAACGACACCGCTGTGCGTCTCAACATGGATGTTAGAATGAGCAACAACCTAATGGTCAAAACACAATACAGACAGCAATTAGTCATTTCTAAAGGTCCCACGTCACGGCCATTTCTACTGATCATAGTTCCATTGTTGAGGTCGACTAGAATAGATTCACATTGTTCAATGTTCCAAACTCACATTGGTTTCTCACAGCATCTCTGTATAGTCTGTGTATTCACTCTGTCCTACACGGCTTGTTGGAGCTCAGTTAAATGACATTTTACGTTTGATTACTATACGATACAGTATTTATCATTATAGTATTACTATTTCGGCGATTAGATTAAATATAAATTATATTTGATGCAACTTTAGTTACATTTCCATGACTTTTCCAAAACTTTGCCAAAAATATTGTTTTCCATAACTTTTCCAGGGCCTGGAATTAGCATTTTTTATTTCCATGACTTGTCCAGGTTTTTAATGACCATAAGAACCCTGTGTGTTAGAGTTTTACTCGGTGCAGGGTACTTTGAGGGGTTGTGACTCTGCAGACCGTTTACATGCAGAAAAACCTTCATAACACAAGGGGACGGGTGATAACCGGAAAAGCATGACATGGGCCCTTTAAAAAGGTGCACAGCATTTGTGGAGTCTGTAGATATTTAGGAACCCAGCTGAAGGGGTGGAATAGAGTGCTGGTTAAATCATATTTAAGACCTTTTTTTGTCATATTAAAGACTTTTTAAGGCCTTACATTCTGATTATCAAATGTAAGACTTAAGACCCCGCGGGAACCCTGTAAATAACATTTAGAAACCTTATGCTAAATGGTTTCCCACTAGCTCTATATCCCACTTCATGTCTCCCACATCTCTGCCATGAAGGCTCACTTGAATGGATGATGTGTGCACCGAGCGAGTTAATATAAAGCCCCCTAGAGAAGTGTGAATACACAGGATATCTAATTAAACTTTTATTTTAAGTCAATTATTAAATTCATAAAATGCTGAGGAGACTTTCTGTAATGCATTTAAACGATGCAACCTTCATTTTGAAGGAAAGCTCCATCATGTGAAGTCTCTTTTTGGGGAATCAGAATCCCTCATTAGTCCCAGAGGGGAAATAACAGCTAAGAGACACTGAAACTTAGTGAAGAGGACTCAGTCAAAAGTCATTACAGTCCAGGTCTAAAAAAGGTAGCATCATCAGAAGTATACCACATTAACCAATCAGAGCACAAAGGCCTACTGCATGCAGTAGGTTTCGCCAACTCAAATGTAAGACTTTTTAAGACCACTTTGAATAGAATTTAAGACCTATTTCACAGCAAGAAAGTATGAAGGAAAATTGCTATGAAAGAAAAAATACGTCCCATAATTACTTAAAGTAAATGTATTCATGTTCAATATAAGAACAATGACCTAACATAACACAGAACTGTGTTAGCCCAAAAGTGTGCGTCTGTGTGCTTGCGTGTGTTGGGCTGTGCAATTAATCGTATTTTAATCGCAATTACGATTTTGGCCTGCCACAATTACAAAAACATCATAATCGGAAAAAAACTATTATTTAGCTTTGCTAGGTTGTGACAGTGCACTACAATATATTTGATCTAATTTATTTATCATATTTATGTGTTTAGTAGCTGGTGGAAGTGCGCTCCAAAATATTTGTTGATCTTGATATATATTTATTTAGTATTGGTATTTTTCAGTTGAATTATACATTCAGGGTAAACAGTTAAAAAACTGTTCAGATTATTTGTTTTAAAGTTCAATACATGGATCAAAGTCAATTAATAACCGTCATATCAATTGACCAAAATAGCGATTATGATTTTTGCCATAATCGAGCAGCCCTAGTGTGAGAGAGTAACAAGAGCTATATTCAGAGCTCTGCTACAATCTTTCATCGGTGCATGATTGGTATTTAGCGTCTACAGCACCTCCGCTTCTAGGGTTGGTATCGTAGACCCAAACGTCGCCCGGAGGTCCCCCGGTGTTGTTGAGGGAGCTGCTATACTAGCTAACGCTACATTAGCTGCTGCTGCACTAGCTAACGCTGCATTAGCTAACGCTGCACTAGCTAACGCTACATTAGCTGCTGCTGCTCTAGCTAACGCTACATTTGCTGCTGCACTAGCTAACGCTACATTAGCTGCTGCTGCACTAGCTAACGCTGCATTAGCTAACGCTACATTAGCTGCTGCTGCTCTAGCTAACGCTACATTTGCTGCTGCACTAGCTAACGCTGCATTAGCTGCTGCAGCACTAGCTAACGCTGCATTAGCTGCTGCAGCACTAGCTAACGCTGCATTAGCTAACGCTACATTAGCTGCTGCTGCACTAGCTAACACTACATTAGCAAAACAAACTCCAATTTATTTTTGCAAAAGGTGCAGCGGGCTTCAAACACGTTCCCTCCACTGGTTTCAACCAAGCACTAAATTCGATGTTTTCCAACCAAATTCGGTTGAACTGACACTTCCCCATATTTATTTGTAAGTAGATGCGAAGAGACATGAGTTTGACTGCAGCTAGCTGAAGCTTGGTTGCTAGCAGAGCAACCAAGTTGGTTGCTAGCAGAGCTCTATATGGCGCTAGTTGCTAGGTTACTAGATGGGTGTTCTCCAATAAGGAACGGGGGAAACAAAGTTAGTGATTACTGGTTC